CTTTGACTTTGTGACTCGGTTAATTCTCAATGATTTATGCCAGTGGAGTTGAAAGATACAGATAAATGCACCCTGACAGTGTTAATTTATTCCTGTTTTCGGTGAGGGAACAGGTGGTGATGTGTAAGAACCGCTGGGCTGCCAATGTTGCTTTTTTTTTATTCAATTAGAGCCCCTCACTGCTCTTGGGAGCAGGATCCTTCCTGACACTGGCTTGCTGAGGCATTTCAGGGGCCAGGGAACAGCTTGGGTTTTGCTGCCGGGTGTTATTACACATGGCAGACAGGCCAGGGGAAGTGACACAGGTCCGTCCTCCGGGCTCTATGCACTTTAACATTTTCTTCCATGGTCATGCCCTTCCACAGTCTCGGAATCAAAGAGATCAAGGGCCACTTTCAGGTGGAGGAAATGAGAAAGAGAACGAAAGCTACCACCCAGCTGCTGTACAGTATTACGCTAGGCCGGCTAGCGTCAACAACAATAGCAGCCGTTTTCTGCACTAAGTTCCCACTTTGTCGGACAACCTTGGCAGCATCGGTCATAAATACTTCTCGTCAGGGACTTCGAGCTACCCTGCATATATATTCTCAGTTTGCACATGGGCATGACGGGTGAAGGGGGTCAAAAGGCACAAACTTGCAGTTACAAGTTCTAGGGATGTCATGCATGGCACGGTGCCTACAGTTCATAATACCATACTGTGTATTTGAAAGTTGCTGAGAGAGTAGATCTTAAAGTTCCCATCACGAGGGAAAAAACTGTTTAACTGTGAGGCTGATGGATATTAACTAAAGCTATTGTAGTGACCACGTCACAATATATACATAAATCATTATGTCGTGTACCTAAAACGAATACAATGTCATCTGCTAATTATATCTCACTAAAACTGGAAAGAAAAAAAAAAGGAGGGGGGCTCAGGAATTTTAAATTCATTAAACAGATGAGAAAACTGAGAAAGAAACTCGTAGCAGAGGCAAAGTCAGAAGATGGCGTAGGTCTCAGTGGTCAGGACAGTGTGGTTGACTCCACTGTTCTTTTCCGTCTCTGCTTTGGCTTGCTGGTACGTCCTGATGGCAGAGTACTATCAGATGCTGTCACACAGTCCGCCAAACATGTCTGCCTGCATTTCGTCATTTCTGCTTCTCCAGTTTAGTTCCTTTCATGGCCCACATTCAGCCAAGAAAGCACAGGAAAGACGGAGCTTTGTCTCCCACATCCACCACCCACCAGCAGCATGACTTCAACATTCCCTGCATATTCCTGAGCCCGTCTGAGCCATACCACGTGCTGCACACTGAAGATGACAGAATTTGGGAGTTGCACGTAAGAGAAAACTGAGCATGGTTAAAAATATCGAAGACTGCAAACATATTCTTTAAAGAGAAATGAGAATTAGCAAAGGTCTAGCAACAGTCATGGCTTTTAATGCTATTTAAAAAAAAATTCATACTTTAAAACTACTGAATGAGGTCCTTTCTAGATTTTTGCAATAAATCTGATAGTCCCACAGACCATGCATTAAAATCTTTCTGACCTATTTCATTCTATTAGAAATCTAGATTGAGTGAACAGTATATAGAAGATGACAGTTTCCAAGTTACCTTGGTTATATCTGTTTCTTACTCATAGTGTCCTTCTAAGGATGATCACTGCAGCTTTGAAATCTGGTGGCCACCAAAACACTCATCCCCCCTTCCCCCCGCCTTGGCAATTCTAGCTGCATGATAGCCCTTCGGCCACCTGAGATCATGACACATCCTTCTTTTCTACCCAGTCCTGCTGTTCCCTCTTCCCTAAGTTTTCACTGCCTGGAAGGTGGGGTTTGGGAAGCCTTCTGTTCTGCAGTGGATGAGATGTGTTCTTGCTGTCATGACAGCAAGAGTCTAGAATGCAAGGAGGTCAGGTGCTTGCCAGTAGGTACATACTAGCTTTTTTCATGGGAACCTGCCCCCTAATTCTGCTTTTGCTCTAGTCTTCTTATTTTCATCTACCTGTCATCTAAAACTGAAACTATCACAAGCTGAATTTAGCATAGATCCTAAGTAATGGAAACAGGCTTAGAGATCCTAAAGTATAACATTTCCTAAAGTATGTTCTGTAGAATGCCACCCCTGCAAGGTGCTCTCCGAAAAGGGCTCAACAGCCAGATGAACTTGGGAGACATGGCGCACTCCACCCCCTCTCGGCATCTGAGCATATTAAAAGCTCAGCAATGTCCCTTAGTAACTGAACTGTGTTAAACTCACATGGTAGATTTGTGGGGGGACTTGGGCCTCCCTTCCCAGACCACAGGATTTCTATGGGAAAATACTCTGAATTTCAAACCTAACTCTCCATAACCTGGAAGCGTTCTAGACATCATTGACTTTTCTCAATGATAGTAGATATTCATAAAAACGTTTCTTTGAACTGTAAAAGCTTTACAGGGTCAAAGCAGCAATAACTTTGCAATAAAAAATGTATATGTATGCATACAGATCAGCTAAAAGACAAAGTGTATACTTAAGGCATTCTTATTTCTTCTTTCCTTTTTTTTTTTTTTTTTTACCATTTGGGCAGCCTAGGAGAATGACTCATATCACAAAAATTTTAAGGCTTCAAGACTGGACTGAATCTTGAACTGTCCTATATAAAGATACTAAATTCATGCTCAAAAAGGCTGTGTGTGTGTGTGTGTGTGTGTGTGTGTAAGCAAAGCTTGTTGCATCTCGAAATTGCTCAAAGGCCCAGGTCAAGGCTGGTGGCCTTTGTTACTATTTTTGAAGTTAGACACACCGTGTTCACCTAGAGAGGATTAAAATGGCGGATTTGTGGTATATGATGAAAATCCTCTGGAGCTTATACCAGGCCTGTGAAGGTCTACAGTAAATCAAACATCTGAGTGAAAAGATAAAAGATGAGGCAATTCTCTACACGCTTCCAAATGTATCAGGGACATCATGTTGATCCTAAAACTAAATAGTTGACTATTTCTACACCCCACATTTTGCCTCGGTATTCTGCCATCACACACACACTGCTCAAAACTCAAGGGGGCCGATGGCCCATAGGAATCATTTTCAGTTTGAATACAGGACAATGTTTGGGGTACGATCATAAAGGCCAGTTATATATTACTTTAAAAACCAGTTTAGAAAGAAAGGCTGCAGTAGTCACTGAAAGGCTGGACTTCATCCTGAAGGCGATCACAATATTAATGCTGACATTCAGTGCAAACACAGTACGGAGGCAATATACCATTCTAAGGCCTGCAGAGTCAATATTTTCTTTCTCTTGTTTCTATTTTATTTATTTATTGCTTCAATTTTTTTTTTCAGTTCTTTGCAAGATCAGTGGGAAAACTCGGGATCATAAACACACTTGTGGCAGATCTATTTTATGTCTTTTAGCAGGAAGGGGACCGGGCTGTCAATTGTGATGTTGGTAGGCAAGGGGTGGGAAAGGAGCTAACATGGAACACCTGTTATTGGTGAGGCAGTCTCCATATGTCCCTTCATGTCAATCCTGGTGAAAACCCGTGAGGCACACATCCCTGTACCTGGTTTATAGACAAAGGAAGTCAAGACTCGGAGAAGTCCTGCAACTTGTGTAAGACCTGGGCGCAGGAAGCAGAGCTGGGGTGCTAACTCTCATCTGCCTGTTCTCTCTATGACACTAAGCCAACTGCCTCAGTGCAAGGTGCTTCGTGCAAACCAAAATGCGCGTGGAGAGAATGGAATTTTGCCGTTTACAGAAACAACGGCATTTCACAAGAATGGTGAGTTATGTGTAAGGCACCAGAAACCTAACGCTGAAATGCCTTTAATCAGCACCATCAATCTCATGCAATCCCACACAACCAGGTATATGGAGCAGCCTTCGAGGGCTTTGCTTTGTAGTTCTTACTGTTACCACATACCACTTTTCTATTATTTTCCACATACCTCCCAAAATAGAAGGGATTTTTTTAAAGGCACATGAATGTTCTTTCCTGTTTTCATTCTCCAAAAACTGGAAGAGATGAGCCACCTGTAGCCTGATGCAAATGCTCTGGGCATGAGCCTAATGTACCGTAGAATGGTGTGTACTTTGGACTATGGGAGTCTTTGGTCCTTGGGTGTTAGCCAGAGCTGACCAAGACTACTCCAACAAGTTTCGCCCATGACACTGAACCGTGGGCTGCCCTTCCAAGAATACATTATAGTGCACTTACTGTGTAATCCTTTAAATATGTACATTTCAAACACCCTGGACAGAGCAGTACTGTCAAATTAAAGGGACATTTTAATAATTCTTCTGATTACACATTATTTCATGGTTGCAGCCATATCTGTTCTGCTTCAAATACAGAATGCCCAAGGTACTGTATTAGAGATATCCTCAAGAATTTGTACCACATTGAGGATATCTATGTATCTATCTTCAAGGAACACTTGTTCTCTAGAATTGCTTTCATTTCTCAAGTCTGTAATAAAGGGCTAATATTTAGACTAATGACAGGACCATAAGTGGTATAATACCATAAGTACGTCATTGTAAGACTAACTTCTGAATAAGCAAAGAGATCAAACCTTGGTGTTCCCAATTATTACCTGTAGGTGTCTAATTTGTTTGACTACTTTTCAATACAGAAGACCACAAATAACGTATGAGGCACTGAAATTATTTTTCTTCCCAACAAACCTAGACGACTATGCCCTACTATTTAGAAGTGGCCACCAGAGAAACCAACAGGCATTACCATACTTTGGTACCAAAGAAAGAAAGGGATTTGTCAAATCTGAAAAGTGAAGTTAGTAGTTGAGCAACAGCAGTTTGGATACCAAGCGGAAGCGGAGTTCTAAATTTAATGGATGAGTGACAGTATAGGCAAAGCTCAGAAAAACGGAGTCTGCAAAATATCCTACACATTAGGCATACCTTAACACTTGATAAACAAGCCAAGTATCTTAACTGCAAATTGAGTTTTCAACAAACTGCAGGTACGTTTGGGGAAATACTTTAAAGACAGTACTCACCACATCAAAGGCAGTAAACACGTGACAGTAGTGGTGATTGGACTTCAAATCTTTTGTGATATAAGCAAATGTTGAGAGGTCTTCTGGGTCCTGGGCAGCACAGGAGATATTACGAATTTCATGCTCAGCAATTATGTTCTGGAATAAATGAAGTAAGTGACAATTGTTTTCCTTTGCAAACCAGCATATTTTAGAATCAAGGCAAATGACTTGGGAATCAGCTGCCTTCCCCTCTTTCTAGAATGTTCTAGACCAGCAACATTCAGAGTGAACGATCTGTGGGCAAATGTGCACCAGGTCTGGAAGGAATTTTTCATTTAATTAAAAACAACCTAATGTTGTCATATCCTGCAGCAGTGGTTCTCACCAGGTGCTGTGAGCAGAAGGACTCCGGGTGGCAGACACGCTTTTTAAAAACATAGTAGTTACTAAGCATTTTATGGTTTTCATTCCCCATATACACCTATAGATAGGCAGTGCTGCCTCCCGCTAATTCTGTCTGGAAAGCATCACCTGCCACATTCTGCATGCTGGGAGAAACTGTCCCAAGAAGCTCTCTAAACCCTTCCCCATCTTGCTGCTCACTTCTGTGCTCCCCCCAACCCCCCATTGCCCTGGATCAAAGGCAAGTATAGAAGGAAGTGGGCAGGTTGACGCATCAAGGCGCTCTCTCTTTAAGACATTTTTTAAAGGATAGTTGACATTTAATGTTACATTAGTTTCAGGTGTACAATACAGTGGTTCAACTTCTCTGTATGTTCTGCTCTGCTCCCCACAAGCGTAGCTACCATCTGTCACCATACAACGCTATTACAGTGTCATTGACTACATTCCCTATGCTGCGCCTGTTATTCCCATGACCTACTCATTCCATAACTGGAAGCCTGTATCTCTCACTCCCCTTCGCCTGTTTTGTCCATCCTCCCATCCCCTTCCTCTGGTAACCCTCAGTTTGTTCTATTTGTAGGTCTGATTCTGCTTTTTGTTTATTCATTTATTTTTTAAGTTCCATATGAGTGAAATCCTATGGTATTTGTCCTTTTTGATCTTACTTCACTTAGCATAATACCCTTTAGGTCCATCTGTGTTGTTGCAAATGACAAGATCTCATCCTTTTTATGGCTGTGTAACAACATTCCATTGTAGGGGTGTGTGTGTGTGTGTGTGTGTGTGTGTGTACACAAGCATCTTCCTTATCTATTCATCTGTTGATTGATGCTTAGGCTGCTTCCATATCTTGGCTATTGTAAATAATGCTGCAGTAAACATAGGGGTACATGTATCCCTTTGAATTAGTGTTTTTGTTTTCTTTGGCTAAATACCCAGTAGTGGAATTAGTGGATCATATGGTAGTTCTATTTTTTAATTTTCTGAGGAACCTCCATACTGTTTTGCACCAGTTTGCCTCCTCACCAACAGTTCAAGGTGCTCTCTCTTAAAGACTCTGCGGAGGCTGAGGTGTAGAGGTGGTATGAGGAAGAAAACCACTCTGCATTATTCAGGTCTTGGATGCCTGGCTTGATGCAGGGCCCCGTGGATGGCAACACCTCACTAGCTACACCCACCATGTAGAATTATGAGTGGGTGCTGTGGTTATCATTATCATCTTACAGGTGGGGAAAATGGTACTCAGTGTAAGGGCTTTATGCAGGGCAGGTGGCAGAGCCAGGACTAAAATGTAAGGCTGTCAGACTCTGGAGCTCAGGCTCTTTCATACACTGCAGGGCCCCTCATCCCCACCTCCCTCTCGCTGGTTTAACATAATTTCATTTTTTTCTCTCTAGCATTTCTTCATGCCATCTCACTGCCAGCCCCCTCATCCCAATGTGCCTCTAAGAGTAACTGGTGGGAGGTAAGTGAAGAAAGGTTTAAGTACCATGATTCTGAAGCACAAAATAACCAAGGAGCATCGTGTTGGCTGCAAACCCTGCTAGAAATTTCTTTTGATACACAGATGTTTTTAAAAAGAAAAAAAAATTCACATAATTGTGCAATCGTTTTTTATCTTAGAGGATCCCATTTACGTTTTTTTGCAGTTGTCAGAGATCTAAAACCTTCAGTATGTTAGTTATGCTAATTACTTTTTAATTGCACAGTCTTAAATAACCTGTTGGCCATAAAATGTTCCATGTATGCCCATCAATGCCTAAAAATGCTTACAAAATGTCCTTCCCTGCCAGCACCCCAGCAAGTACTTCATGTCCCTTGCTCTACTGAGCTGTGTGGTTGGGAAGCAATTACAGAATTAACACATAAAAGAAAATTAAATTAAGACATTCTTCACTGTGGCCCTGTATTTTGACATGACATGCAGCACACTGTCAAAAATAACTCAATTTGAAACTGGAATCCCATAAACAAATAACATTCTATTGCAAGATGCAGTTTCAAAATAGAAGGTCATGATCTTCTTCTGGCATTCAGATAGCATTTCTTCAAGTAGAAAACTAAATTAGGAACGAGTGAGTCTTAAAATGAACTTAAGAATCTACGGTCTTCACAGGGATGATGTTAGCAGGTGCTGAGAGCCTCCGCCGTCATGTTAATTGGGAGCTGCCGTTACCTCTGGGAGTGTGGCTTTGGTGTCATGTACCCAAGATCCGCTGTTATCAGAAATAGAGCATTGGCTCCAATTTTTTTTTTTTTTTAACTAAATTGGCATTTTGTGTTCCTGAGATCTTTTACTAGCATACAGTAGATTGGAAGATCAACTTCTTGGGAAAGTATTGCAGTGGAAAATGCCCTGTGATTTTTATTGCACTGAATTCCCTGAGTCTTGCCAATTCACAAGATGCCACTTCTCAGCGATCTTCAGTGGCATGTGACAGCATCATGGTCCTGGGCAAAACTATAAAGTAGGCAAAGTATATCTTTGGAGATCTCTCTTTATTATGGACTGCATGTCTGTGTCCTCCCCAAATTCATATCTTGAAATCTTAGGAAGCCCGAAATCCTAAGCCCTGATGTGATAGTATTTGGAGGTGGGGCCTTTGGGAGGTGATCAGGTCCTGAGCGTGGGGCCCTCATGATGGAATTAGTGCTCTTACAAGAGAAGGGAGACCTAGGAAGCTCTCACAGCAGGAAGATGCCATCTATGAGCCCAGGAATGGGCTCTCATCAGACACTGAATCTGTTGGTGACTTGATCTTGGACTTCCCAGCCTCCAGAACTGTGAGAAATAAATGCTTATTATTTAAGCCACCCAGTCTGGTAATTTGTTATGAGTAGCCCAAAACGGACTAAGACATTCTTCCTGTCTTTCTTGCCCTTCCCCCAATTTTCTGGAACCTCCCACTTCTCTATTCTCCAGGAGCCCAGGGCTTCTTTTAGCTGCTTACCAAGGCCTGCCCTCCTCTGTGTTGCCCCACATTTCCAAATCAGCCTCCTCTCCCACTATTGAAACTTGTATTCCTCTGTCGCCTGGTCTAGAGGGAAGGCAGGCTACAAATATACTCTATATTAAGAATAAATGATGTTTAATCATCCTACCCGGCACTTTAAAAATATGCTGTTAAGTGAATTCATATTGATAGCTTATGTAGGGAGGTATTTTTGAACAGAGCTTCTTGATCTATCCGTGGGGCTGGAATGTGGTGAAGCCCCAAGGTCGCACTATTGAAACGCTGCCATCACTCCGCACTGTCTATGTTTACAGAACAGTGAGGCCAGCTCTCCATTCGGAAGGTGCACCCGAGACCAAGGACACTACGGCTGGAGACCGGATGGTTGGTTTCCTCCTTGGAGAAGATGTCAAGGAGGGACACATTCTTTCTACCCCTTGCCACACATCAGTTAGTGGCTCCTCCATAAATTAACAGTGGATGTCAACATAAGGTACTGGTGATGCATCTCCATTTAAAATGGACCCCCCTTCTGTTGCTCAGCCTCCACATCTAACCATGTTCTAAGGAGACTAGAGCTTTTTAAAGGCTCAAAAGGAAGAGTGAGGAGGGACTCACGCTGCCCCTTCTTTGGGATAGAAAGTTTGGCAGCTCGGTACTCTGCAATAGGGAGAGACTGTTTTTTCCTGTCTGTTGCCTTTCATCATGTTGAGAAACAGCTAAACAGGTGCCTGGCTGGTGGTGCAGAACAGAAGTGTTTGGTCCGGCCAGTTAATAGAAAGGTTCTCAGAAGGGTGTGTGATGAGAAGTGATGGGGCCTAGGAGTCAGCCTCTCCCCGTTTCCCTCACTCCTGGCTCCGACAGGCAGGGCCCTTCTCCTGAGTCTCCTCCTCAGGCCAGACCTTCTCCGGGAGAGTGCAGTGCCCCTTCAGAGAAAGTGTCCGAAACAGAGGCAACAGCCCCAGCTGAGGGCTGCCAGGAGGTGACCCGTAGAGAGGCTGATGCAGATGAGAACAGCATACATGCTTAATGGGCTCTTAATTTGACTCTGAGCTTTTTGGAAGGAGAAGTATGAGCTATTAAAAAAAAACAAAAAACAAAAAACACTTGTTTAAGCAAATGTTCTGAATTATTTTGTGCTTAAAAAAACAGCATAAGCCCTGTTTGAAGTTGGCATTCAAAAAGCAAACAAACAAAAACCAAACCCCAGCACTGCACTGTTCCTAATTTAGCTGGATGGGAAGACTGAGGAGGGGGTCAGGGCGGGAAGGTAAAACGCAACCTACTCTCAGCCAAGCACTGGATGTGGGGACTGTGTCACCTCTTGCAAGACCCCGCTGGTCTGAAAACAGGGCCGTAACCAAACTGTCAGAGACCTCTGGGCCGAATGCCTCACTAGAGTTCTCTCTGGGCTGTGGATCTACAGAAAGGTGATGTGCTTTATCGACAACATTTTAGGAGCAGGTCTATTCCAAGTTCCATTTTTAATTCAAGACTATTTTCGGCTCTCCCTTCTTAAAACAGGATTAGTGGTTCGATTTGTTTCCTAAGTTTGTGGGCGAGAGGTTCACAAGTTTCTATCCAGGCACCTAACCCTTCCCCATGGAGCAGCCGATGTCCCGTATTCACAGAGGGAAAGGAAAGCAGTGCTTTGCTGGAGGGCTCATCCTCCCCGGGCTAGTGGGGGCCAGAGAAATGCTAGAACAGCACCCTGCCTGCTAACCAGTGGCACTGGCCATGGAGGGACAGCAGATGAGTTAGGTTAGGGGCTGGGAAGGTCAGGTCAAGGTTCAGCCCGTCCCCGCGACCAGCTGGCTGCAGGACTGCAGGGCAGTCACTTAGCAGAGGCCCGAGGCCTTCTGTTTCTGCGCCCCCTCCACGCCCTGCGGGCCGAACAAACTCCTCCAGCTCTCCAGCTGGAGAGCGAGCGAGCCGCGCAGTGGCTGGGAGAGGGCTGCTGAGGAGGAAATCGCAGTGAAAGCATCAGATATGGATACGAAGGTGTGACTTTTGGCTGTGCCTCATCCCAGGCTTCGTGGCCTCTAGCACCTCACCTTGTGAGGTCTTCAAATAGGTGTCCGCCTCACAAGTCCTTCCCGCAGAAGTGGCCCACCAAGACAGCACCTCCCAGGGGAGAGGTCCGTGGGGCAAACCGAAAGCAGGGCTCTGGAGGTTACCTCTGAGCTCCTCTCCCGGGGGGGCGAGCACCAATCCGGGGTCGGCCTTTGCTACAAACCAGGCGGGCCTTGAAGGTGCACGGCGGACACTGCGGGGGCCTAGTTGTCTGAGCGCAGCTCCCCTCCCAACGGGGCCTGAGAATGGCCCTTCAACAGTGCCTCCTCGAGGCCTTTTGGAACCAGTCCTTCAGCCCTGGCTGGTGGTGGAGCTTCTCAGCCTTCTGCCGTCAAACCCCACCAGTGCGGCCCGACACTCTTTCTTCTACTGCTCTAATCCAGTCTCTGCCTTGGCTTCTCACACACCAACGGCCAGACTGTGGCCCTGAGTCACCCACGCCCTCCCTACGCACTGTTTGATCGGGCTCGATCGGCCACATTGCAGGACACGGGGATGGGGACACTGTACACTTGTTGGTGTGGAAGTCAATGTCCCCAGATTCCCGAAAAAGCCGCCAGGCACATGTTGCCAGAGGGAGGGTGGCACTTTGCCTTTGCTCTAGGTTCTGAAAATTCGCTGAGGACCACACTCCAAGAACTTGAGAGATATGCTGTCCTTCTTTAGTGTTTTTATTCACACAGGATTACCTTTGTGTATTTTTCAGTGCTCATACTTCCATAGAACAGTCATGGGTGAGTAGGCATTCATGGATAACTCATCTAATTATTGGCGACTGAAGCAGAAGTGTCTCCTCAAGGTATGGGAGGATCAGGTTCTACAGCCCTTGATGTGTCTGTAAGCCAAATGCAAAGGACGGACAGAGCTCTCTCATTCCTCCGATCGTGGAGAGTGGATTTGAGAGGATGCTAATAATACAGATGCATCCAGTCACACCACCAGCTTCGCAGAATGACAGCCTTACGACTCTGGGAACTTTTCAGGGCAAATACCACTTGTTTAGAAATTGTCAGAATCCAAGACTGCTGAGGTTGTTAATCTAAGGGAGTGTCAAACTCTTCTGCTAGAAATATATTGCTATTCATGGTTTTCAAATGCAAATGGATACAGAGTTGCTCCGGGTTAGGGAAAACACCCAAATGCCAAAGCCTTTCTTGAACCTTAGAAAACAGTGACAGCCACGGTGCTGTCGATGAGAGTTCCATTAGGTTCTGAAACTTTAAAAACCAACTGACTATAATTTAAGGATAAAGAAAAGTTTGTGCACCAGTAACTAAAAGTTGCTTCCAACTATAAAAAAGCAAATCAATCGGGATTTTTCTGATGAGAATCTCCACAGTTGTAATTCCACAACAGTAAAGGTCAATACCATATTGCTGGCTTGAAACAATCTTTTCACATAAGGCATCTGACTCTGTGCTTTGGAGATCATCAGGCTGCATAATCGTGCAGGGTTATAAGCTTTCTGCTCGGGTTTCAGAACTATTTCTAAAACTGGGAGGTTGTTCTCCTAAGTAGATCCGGGGAGCCTGGGCTTGTCTGACTGCTCTTACAGCAATCTTCTTTGTTCTACTAGACAAATCAGGAAACCTCCAAATTGGTTGATTCAGATGCTCAGGGTTATTATAGCCTCCCAAGAGTCACTGCTCATGGGACTCCCCCCTGGTCTCTAAATCTGGTTGCCCCGGCCCTAAGTTACTACTAAACAGTTCACCTGTTTCATGACTTTGATGCCCTTTTTCCAAAATGGAGTACAAGTAGGGGAACCGGGTAGGGGGTCCAGAAAATAAATGGTATTCACCAATGGGGATCTTTCTACAGTTTATCAGTTGGGAGGATATAGGAATAAAACACATGGACATCTGGGGGTTCTGTGAGGAGGAGCCGGTCAGGTTTGGTTGTTTATGGAGAGTGACTAGTGGTCACACCCAAGTGTTCTAGTCTCGCCCTGGCGCTCGATCATCTTCATCAGGAAAGGAACTCTAGAACACTTAAGTAAAATGCAACCCAGTAATTCCCACTTGACCTCCAAGCTCACGAACTGTTTCCACTGTGAATACAAAGTCACAGCAGAGTCATAACGTGGCTTGAGCCTCTTTTCTGATTGTGCCTCTTAAGAAAACAATACAGTTGAAATCTTCTCCTCCATCTCAACAGCTGAGAATAAACGCAATTATAAAATATGAAAGTCAGAGAATGTGTTCCTTGCGTTGGGTGTTCACTACATGTATCCAAAGAAAGGACGTATATATCTCTAGAGAAATGGGAAGACAAATGTCCTAGTCCTTTGGCCAGTAACATTTTCCTCTGATGGAGGAACAATGACATTGCTGCATTTTCTCTACATATATGACTTTTTTTTTTTCCTGTTGTAATGTTCTCCAGATCCAAAGGGAAATGCCAGGTACTAAGTGGCCACAGTCTATTAGAGAAAGCACCACAGAAAAAGCAAAACATGTGTAGGAATCCTAGATGAAACCCCCAGATGCGATGTGCCCTTCTGTGTATGAGTGAGAGAGAGAAAGCGAGAGAGAGAGAGAGAGAGAGAGTGTTTGTGACACGCACCTACAGTTGTGTTCAGGGAGCAGAAAGGTGGGGGCAGGACGTGAATAAAAGGGGAGATGCTGGGCATGATGGGAGCAAAGGATTTTAGATCATATGCCCAGGAGTGTATCTGGCGTCTAAACCAAAGAGAAGTGCAGTACTCACCTTATTTGTTGCATCAATAAATTTGACTCCTTTATAAGAGACCGAAAGAATAATAGTGGGGACCTTCTTCATTTGCTCTGTAGACTTCTGAAATTAAAATCAGAAAGCTGTGAGAGCAGTTTGTGTCGCATGGCAACAGAAGCACATAATTTCTCCTCTTGAAAGATAAAAATGAGCCCAACTTAAAAACCACACACACACACACACACCCCAAACACACTAATTTAAATGTAGGTCTCTCTTCTCTTGGGCTCGGCTACGGTTTGGGCTTCTAAAGTGTCTGTCTTGCACTTGAGAATCTAAAAAGAGCTTGTTCTGCCGCTTCCTGTGGGTGAAGGAATACTCCTTTTCGCTGACACCAAAGGGAGACATGAACAGCTCTGTCTCCTACTGCGATTGCAAGCAACCGTTCTTTGACTGGAGTTAAACCATGTCAGAGTTAACGCCAAGGGTGAGTTTGGCATTAACAAAACACACGCCACCACTCCCCCTTTCTCCCAGTCACTCTTTCTTCAAGGCACGATGTAGGTCTGAATCATGTAGTTAAAATAGGGACTTAAACACATCATTGTGAATTTTTCTTGAGCCTGGCCAAATCCCTACGGGCTGACGTATTTGCAGCACCACCGCTGGTGACTACGCAGGACAGAATACCACCCTGCCACAATGAAGCCCTCCAGAACAGCCCGGGTGTTGAGCCAGAGCAAAACCGGACAGTCCAGGTGACCTACTTAACCATTTAGAGCCGCCAGATTTCCTTAGGCTAAGCTCTTATGTATGTATGATACGTGTTCCCTCCGGCTTCATGTGCTGCGAGTCTGCAGCCTCGGGAGTTTTATGCATCTGCAGAAAGTTTGTCCACAGTTGAGGACGTGCCTTTTCTGTTCAGTTTGATCATTCATCACGGGTCACCCTAGTCTGTGTACTTCATTTCCCACCACGGTTCCTCCTAATAATCACATTAAGCATCGAGAAGAACCTACCTGACAGTTAGCCTGATGGATTTTCCAGAGAAGACAGGTGGGAACAAAAGGGGAGAGAAAACACATAAAAAGGTGAGGAAACCATTTCAATAATTCACCAAGAGCACAGAGTCCTGAGGCGGTACATGGAGAACGGGCTTTACAGGTAAACGCGGATGCAGCGCAACTGCTCTTGTAGGCACAGCTGTGGGCTTTTCAGACCCTGTCTCTCCCTTCCTGTCCCCTCATCACTGTTCGCCGCGCCACACTGCCTCATGCCTGACACACCAGAACCTTCCACTGCGGGTGTCCCAAAACCACCTGTCTTATGGCTAGTAAGGGAATTGGGGGGAAATATTACCCAATTTTCCATTTTTAAATTCCGAAATGTGACCTGAATTAAAGAAGGCTTTTAGTTGGATAGGGTGAATGAAACTCACTGAACTTAAAAATAATAATTATGTTACATCTTTCACTTGAGCCATGGATAAGGTGTTTCATGTTCTCCTGATTGTTTTGACACATCTTTTGGATAGCTACTACACCTATTTCAAAGGTAGAGAGGATGGATCAGTAAGAGTGTTATTATTTAGTATTTATTAAATGTTTCATACAGTATAGAAAATAGCTGCTCTCCTGAAGTGCTTTTTAACTAGTTTTAAATTACCCGGACTTGCTAGTTTTCTTTCGTGATTGACAGAGATTTATTTATTTATTTTAAAGATTTTTATTTATTTTTGTGAGAGAGAGAGAGAGAGAGAGAGAGAGAGCATGAGTGCAGGGGGAGGGGCAGAGAGAGAAGCAGGCTTCCCACTGAGCAGGGAGCCCGATGCGGGACTCGATCCCAGGACCCTGGGATCATGACCTGAGCCAAAGGCAGACACTTAACCGACTGAGACACCCAGGTGCCCTGCCAAAGAAATTTAGATACTTTTATCTTTTTAATGCATTATCCAAGCAACCCTTAAAAATGTACAAAACAGGGGCGCCTGGGTGGCTCAGTCGGTTAAGCGTCTGCCTTCTGCTCCAGTCATGATCCCAGGGTCCCGGAATCGAGCCCTGAGTTGGGCTCCCTACTCAGCAGGGAGTCTGCTTCTCCCTCTCCCTCTGCCACTCCGCTTGCTCCATCTTTCTCTCTCAAATAAATATCTTTTTTAAAAAAAGTGTGCAAGATGAATCAAAGGTAAAGCTAGAAAAAACAACACTCAGTATATGGACTTTAAGGCAAAATCCTGGACTGAGCTCCGTACAGAGAGCGGGCCACGGCCGGCATGGGCAGTGGCCTGGTGAACTGAATGTGTGTGAGGAATTCTTTGTAAAGAGTAACAATGGATTTCAACAAATTACCTCGCTCATTTCCTGGCACGAATACATTCTATCAGAAGGATCTATCCATCCCATGAAACAATATATAGCTAACATAAGATTAAAATATCAACATTTCATTTAGTATTAAGAAAAATCCAAAAAAAGAGATAGTAAAACCCTTTGTTATCCATTCAGCAATTGAGTGGTGATAGCAGGCAGCCCACTGTATTGGGAAAACTCTGAGTCTACTTCAGGGCATGTCAAACAGACCTCAGGTTGTGTGCAAACTACAGTCTATGGAAAGCGGCTGTCCCAAGGGCTGTGTTGAGAAGACTCTGAGCCTCGTACCTGGGCTCAGTGGGAAAGAGGGTTGGGAACGATGTGTGTGTGGGGCAGGGAGAGGAAGGGACAGCACAGGAGCTACACACCACAAAGAGAAGCTACGACACGCTGATAAATGCACCAGTGATAGGAACAGAAGGCCTCCAGAGTACTGAGCAGAGAGAGCCTCACTCCGCAGGAGAGAGTGGGGCAAGCCTTCATTACTCACTCACCAAGCACTGTCTGCCTGCTGGGGCTGACTGAGCTGGCTCTTGAAGGAAGAACAGGGATTTTCCAGGTGCCAAAAGAGGACAGAAGAGGCTGTGTTAGCAGAAGAATCAACATATACACGAAATGAGAAATAATATGGTGGGTTTGGGTAATTGGTGGAAGATGAGGCTGGTACAGTAGGTTTGGAAGATTGTGACTTACTCTGCCAAGCTAGAATCCCCTGGAGGTTTTTAAGTAGAGCATGGGTGGCAGAAAGACAATGCTGGTGACTGGAAGCACTGGGACAGCTGAGGCTGAAGGGAGACCCTAAGCCCCAGGGCTGCGGCAGAGGCACAATCAGGGGAGAGGGAGCCGTAACTCGACGAGGGAGACTCAAGTGGCTCTGCTAACCCATGTGCCACGGAAGATGAGTGAGCGAGAGGACTCACGGCTGAAGAGGCCATTCCGGAGATGAGCGGACACTACAGGGGAACAGGCTTCGGCATGAAATCCTCCCGCGCATGCTCAGCTCGACAATCAGGTGGCGATGTCCAGCGGGAAATGCGAAATAAGAATCTGATCTGGGAATCCATCCGTATCGAGGGGGGTGCCTGAGGAGATGGGAGCAGATGAGGGGGCTCAAGGAGTGAACAAGAGGGCGAGGAAGCCCCTGTCTCAGTCACTGCGGCTGAAACAGAGCTGGAGGAAGGCTGAGCGCCATGTCGCCGAGGTCAAGCAGCAGATTCCTTAGAAGGTGGGGGTGGCGCCCGGGGCCCCGAGGACCGAAAAGGGGCCGAAAAATCAAAGCCCAGCACCGTCGCTGGCACACGTAGCGGCTGCTATTTTTTTTTTTTAAAGATTTTATTTATTTATCTGAGACAGAGAATGAGAGAGAGCGAGCACATGAGAGGGGGGAGGGTCAGAGGGAGAAGCAGGCTCCCCGCCGAGCAGGGAGCCCGATGCGGGACTCGATCCCGGGACTCCGGGATCATGACCTGAGCCGAAGGCAGTCGCTTAACCGACTGAGCCACCCAGGCGCCCGCGGCTGCTATTTCTATTGGGTCTTCCGGGTGACATCGCTGGCTTTAGCAACTAGAGAAATGTGTTGCTGATGTTATTAAGAGCAGCTTGAGGAGAATGGTGGCCGCAGAGCAAAGACCAGTGATCTGTGCACTGAATGTGAGCGAGAGGGAGCGGAGAGGAACAGACAGGCCGGGACACCGGCTCTTAGGCTGAAATGAAGGCATCAGTGGTGGTTTGGGTCCGGATACGAAGATTCTACATCGTACGCTCAGCCAAGCTGAACAAAGAAGGAAGCATAAAAGCCTGGTCATTTCTTTTTCTTTCGTGGGATCCCTGCTTTCCTGACTGGAGGCCATCCTGGCGTGGCCCCTGCAGCTGGCTGTGCGCGGTCTGTGCCACCTGCGGAGGGCGGCGCTGGGGGGGCCACCAGGCCCCCGCGGGAGTCCACACCTACTTCTCTCCTGCTCAGCGCCTTGACAAGAAGCTGCGGGACCCTGGCTGACAGCAGAGGCGCTCTGGCGGGCCTTCAATGTCATGCTCCTCCTTTAAGGCATCTATAATTCTATGAGAGATAAAAATCCAGCCTCTTTCAGGGGATTTTCTGTTGGGTGTACTCTGACCGAGCCTTCAAAGAGGTCTTTTCATAGGTTATTTTAACGAAAGATGAAAACACATACAAAGAAAGCAAATATCCTGAGTCTTCAGGGAGAATAATCAAGGAGGCAAGAAATCCAATAAGGGCCTACTTCATTTTATGAAGGCTCTATAGATAACGAAGAAAAGTGAGCAGGGCCTCAGTCCAATCACGGACCGCCCGCGTCCCACTGTCTCCATTTGCTCTTACGAGTTGCAATGCAATGCCGGTTTTCTCCTCCTTCCCAGGGACGGAGGCACCCTAGGCTGGACCACTGCTCAAGTTACAAAGTGCTTGCCCCCGGGGCCACGGCAGTCTCTGTGATCTATCTGGATAGTTAATGCTCCCATATATGTACATATGTTAAAGCAGTCAAGCCTTATTTATTTGTATAAACAGAATTCTCTTCTTCAGTAAAATGCTCAGGGCAAACCTTATGTGATGGTTCTCTTTTGTTTCTAGTTGTTTTCTGTGCCACACTCTTTGTGGGATTTTTTTTTTTTTTTTAAGATTTTATTTATTTGACAGAGCAAGAGACACAGTGAGAGAGGGCACACAAGCAGGGGGAGCGGGATAGGGAGAAGCATGCTTCCCGCAGAGCAGGGAGTCCGATGTGGGACTCGATTCCA